AAAGTCCTCTTCAGTCTCATTAGTAAAAACATATAATAATATAACTTTTTTGTCACCATAGTCTGATAAATCAATTAATCTTAGTCATCAAGTCTGCAATAAAATTGTTTCTCGAGCCGAATACAAATACATCAGCATCACAATTCTGAATAAAATATTAGTATTATACAATCGAAAATTAAAAATAGATAACAATAAAATTATTAAACTTACGCCAGATTAGATGCTATGTATAATTTTCCGCTTTAAAGTGTAACAATGTATATGAGGAATAGGTCTGTGCTAATCGACAGTTGTCACAAGAATAAAGGAAAATAAAACCATCTAAGTTAGAAATGTCACTTACATACTGAGGGTAACGACCTAAACAACTGATCATATGCTCTGTCTAATTTTTCCGTATCTTTTTGTGCATTAATACCATTATTTTGTTCTTTAATAAATAACATCTCAGAAATTAATCTTTTATTGTAATGAGATTCGATGTCCATAATACGTATATTATCCCAATCAAAGGAATGTCCAGATTGGTTGCAATGTTCAGACAAAACTGTAACTCTTGTTGGATTTGATCTAATATTATATTTATGTTCCTTTATTCTAGTGATTAATTTTCTTTTTGTCTGTCCCACATATGACGAATCGCAATTATTACATTCCACCTTGTAAACAACATTATTTCTTTGCATCTTCTCTGTGTTATCTTTATGAACTTTAATTATATTATTGAGTTTATTAATCACACACATCCTAATTCCTATGGTGAAAACATCATTATCTAAGCCACTAGTAATGACATTTGTAACTTTGGGAATATACGGCAAAACGACTTCACCATAGGAATTAGGGTGATTAATAAACTTAATAATATAATTAAAGTTCATAAAGATAACACAGAGAAGATGCAAAGAAATAATGTTGTTTACAAGGTGGAATGTAATAATTGCGATTCGTCATATGTGGGACAGACAAAAAGAAAATTAATCACTAGAGTAAAGGAACATAAGTATAATATTAGAGCAAATCCAACAAGAGTTACAGTTTTGTCTGAACATTGCAACCAATCTGGACATTCTTTTGATTGGGATAATATACGTATTATGGACATCGAATCTCATTACAATAAAAGATTAATTTCTGAGATGTTATTTATTAAAGAACAAAATAATGGTATTAATGCACAAAAAGATACGGAAAAATTAGACAGAGTATATGATGAGTTGTTTAGGTCATTACCCTCAGTATGTAAGTGACATTTCTAACTTAGATGTTTTTATTTTCCTTTATTCTTGTGACAACTGTCGATTAGCACAGACCTATTCCTCATATACATTGTTACACTTTAAAGCGGAAAATTATACATAGCATCTAATCTGGCGTAAGTTTAATAATTTTATTGTTATCTATTTTATTATCGATTGTATAATACTAATATTTTATTCAGAATTGTGATGCTGATGTATTTGTATTCGGCTCGAGAAACAATTTTATTGCGGACTTGATGACTAAGATTAATTGATATATCAGACTATGGTGACAAAAAAGTTATATTATTGTATGTTTTTACTAATGAGACTGAAGAGGACTTTGTAAAGTTGAAACGTTTCTCGTTATAATTAATAGAATATTTAATAAATTTTGTTATTTTTACATTGCTTGTTTTAATACCGTAATTTGACATCATTATTATTTTGTCACTTAACTTTTGTTATTAATATTTTTTGTAACATCTTAAAAATCTTTTAGTAGATTTTATATTCGTATTATTAAATGAAATTTAACTTGACACATATTAGCATTCATGCCTATTATTATTGCTTTCTTTTTCCTACCTTCATTTAAAAGAAACAAAAATAACAGACGTGAATTAATATACACTGCCTGAATTATAAGTTTTGCACAGCATTTTTATTTATGGTATGTTTCTTAAATTCATTGTGATGTAGTTTTTTTAGCATTTATACATATTCCTAATGCTTGATTTAAAGATTGTTCAATGTAAATACATTGAATTTACACAGAGTATAAAATAATGTATAAGTAGAATAACAATTAATATTTGTTTTAGGCACCTTTACCAGAATATGGATTATTAGAAGCTAGACAAGAGAAAATTCTTAACCAATTGGCAGAACTCAAAAAGCAAGTCTCTACACTGTGCCATTTCTTGAAACAATCTAATCAAATGGAAATGAAACAATCTAATCAGACAGAAGTGAAAGATTCTGTAGAAGTTCAGGTTAGCAATTAATGCATTAACTATAATTGCTCGCTAAATGTCTTATATTTAATTTATAATTATGGTTGATACATCAATTGCTACACTATAATAAAATTACACATTTCTATTTAATTGTTGCATAATAAAAAGACTCAAATTAGAGACAGTTGTATATTTACAGAAACCAATCGTCAATCACCTAGTATTGAATGTCAACCCTAAAAAACCACCGTATTCAATACTGGCTTTACAGAAACTTTGGAAAGATACCCACTTTAATGTGATATCACATATTCATTCTACTACGAAGGATGATATACCTATTGTTTTTCCTAAGTGGATTCTCTCCTCTAAAAAAGCCATACAATTAACATTGATATGGAAAGACGGTAAGACATCTTTATCTTTAAAATATTTTCTTATAATTACTTCATTAATTGAGGATGCGATGAAACTTTAGAAAAAAATCAAATTTACAATCAAACTTTTTATTGATTTTTCATCGTTTATTGATTAGAATGAACTTTTTTTTAAAGATTTATTTAAATATCTTATATTTTATTGCATTCTTTTTTAGTTCCGGATATGGAGGTAATCGTAAATACGTATTCCTGTCCCATAAGAGGTGAAGTAAATTTTCTTAGATTAATGAGCAGATTGATAGAATCGCATAATTACGAGAGCACATGCTCACAACCACAAACATTGGATTTCGCGCTTGACTTCACGAATTTCTTACACAGTCAGAAATGTATAAAAGAAGGGTTGATTACATTAGCCAATGAATTCGAAAAATGGTCTTGCAAGGGTGGATTTAATATTGTAGATATTGCAGTATGGTCTCTAATTAAACAATTTCACGAAACAGATTTACCACCAGTTCTTCGTAAGTGGTACATACGGTGCGAAAGTTTTTTTACTGATTATTAGTAATTATGACAAATAAATTATTTACTTTTTATAAAAACCTTGATATGTTAATAAATGGATATAAATATATTGTTTTTTATTCATAAAATCGTGCGTTATTGATTTATACTTTACACATGTCCTAATACAAGAACTCTTCATTGGCAATATATGATTGATAAAGAATTTAATTAATGAACTAGTATAATATAGAAATATGTATGAAAATTAGTTATAAAAATATTGACTTTTACAAATACGTAGTGATTCCAAATTGGTAAATAAATCAGCTTGTTATAGAAAAACTTTTTCAAAATGCCATAAATTTTTATTAAAAGATTAACAATTTTTTTCAATGTCCTGTATTGACATTACAGCTGATTTATATATATATTTTTTTACATTGTTACAAATACGCGCGTGAAAATATATAAATAAAATTAAAATTTGCACTAAGCGTTCACTGGCAGTGTCGCGGAAACGTCGAAAAGTGTTTCTGTAGAAACATTTTCCCGAAAGAAAATGTTTTCGCTGCGCCTCACGACGTGTTCGTAAAATTTTCTTTTTAAAAAAAGTAATAAAATTATCTAAAATAAAATTATATCTAAATACTTATACCGTTTTTGACGAATGAATAAAATACGAAGCGCGATAATAGTCTGACTTCGTAATTTATTAATTAAATTAGGTTTCTCTTTCTCCTGTCTTTTAAGTTTCATTATTCGCAGTTACATTAAATTTAACATCTGTTATCGTAGTTCCGACTTTGAACGTTAATAAAACGAGAATGTTTAAGAAGATGTGAATACTGTATCTCAACTATGATATATTTATGTACAATAAACGCTCCATATATTTGCATATTCCTTATTCGCGGGACTAAGATATTCTATTTATCGTAATAATTAAGATAAAAAGAATAACGTTTCTTGAGAAGTAATTCTTATTTTTAAATAAAACGAATTAAGAAAGATGCATGAAACATAAAAAAAATTGTTCATATATATATATATTATATAAATTATAAAAATAATTAATATTTTATATTTTTTATGATAAATTTCAGTCTTTCTACATACATTTTAGTTTTCAAAATCGCGATTCCGTATTCGTGACAGTTTAATAAAATGTAAGTCTTATGACTATGGAGCATTTACTGTATATCACAAAATGCAAATGCGATGGATATAGTTCGCTGAATACATGTATAGCAGCATTATACAAAATCTACATTCTTACAGAAAGTATATAACATATTTACAAGCACGTCTGACATGTAAATACGTCGCATAAAGCACACGATGCTTGTTTTCCTGCTGGATTGCTAGTTAGATTAAAATCTTGCTACATTATTGGCTGCGGTGTTGACAGTGCCTGTATCGCAGCCAATCCGATGAATCGGAGATTCAGATTCAAGAATCTGATCCAGCTAGCAATCCAGCAGAAAACAAGCATCGTGTGCTGCTGGCTTTAGAGTGGATTTACACGGTGCCCCGCGCGATCTTTATTAAAGTCCTTACTGGATTAATAAAATGATATGGTAGGCCAACGATTGCAATGTTAAGTCTGATATTTTTTCTAAAAAATTTGCGATATCGCGATCCCGATTATTGTTTATAAATGCGTCGATGATGTAAATATTTTTAAAGAATACAAGATCTTCGGAATCGAATGCAATCATGTACTTATAATTGCGTACCTGAGAAATAGAAGGGTATAAAACCGAAATATTGAAAAAAATATTTGAAGTTATACTTTTCTGTTTTGCACAAGTACGAAATTTGCGTACGGGATTCATACGCTAGAATTGTTTAATTCTTAAATTAATCCGAGAAAATATAAAAGTATCTATTAAATGCAAAGTGTCTTATCGAAAATTATAAATAATATATATATATCAATATATCACAATACGAAGATGCCTGAAGCTTCCTACAGTTTGCTATAAGTCTATGCCGTCGCGGGAGCATATGCGAAACACACGTGTTCCCGACGTAAGTCTTTCGCTCTATATACGTATATTTATAAAAAAAAGACTTCGCTAAAAACGAAGTAACTGCGATGGTAATTTTAATGTAGGAATAAAAAATGTCCTATCTTAACATAGTGTTGGTTGTGAAAATTCGTTTCATTATACGAACGACGAAAAACCGGGGAGCGGCGCTCTCGATCTAGCCATATTATTCATGATGATCTGACCGCCATTCAAACTGACGACTGCGCTGCCTTCCGGTTCTGAGTCTGTGTATGATGAATAATTTCGGACGGGTTTCTGCCGTTTCCACGATTGTCTTAACGAGTCGTTCACGTTCGCGTAGTGATTCACGAAAGAATGTGGGTCGGACTGCACACTCTCGTTCTCGCTCTCAGAACCCTATGAAATAAGAACGGAATTAAGATTCATGTTGTCAGAGATGCGTGTTGTTTTACATCTTACGAAGAATCACCTGAGAATCGGTGGAACTAATTTCGGAGGGCTTCTCCGTGACACTGCTGTCGTCAGGATTCTCATCGTATCCCTTGAGGCTCTCCTCGTCACTATGATAGGCGACCGACGCTGGAGAAGGCCTGGGAGGCGATTTGCCCAGCATCGTAGGTGGCGGAGGATGCATCGCCTTCCGGGCTAACGTATTTCTTTTACCTAAAGTGCCGCTTGCCGCGTTAACAGCACCACCTCCACCCTGGCGTGATCTGTACAATTCTAAATCTGACTCTTGTCTGTCATCAGCGTCCATTGCCATTGATTCCTCCAGAGTCTTTTGCGCCTCTTCTGCAATATAATTATTAATATATAAATTATATGCAACAAATTGTACATTATATAAATGATCTATTAGCATAATCTGATTTTTCATAATTGAGAATCAGTTTATACATATACACATTAAACTTAACTTACGTTTGTATTTGTAGCTTTTACTCTTCACGCATAATATTGCTATGACCATAATGATAATTATAATTGATGTAGCGGCTAAAGTGACCATGAACCAAGTCTGTCTATAAAACGGTCTGTGTTGCAGGTATGCGTATTCCAGGTACAATTTCGAAGGTGTCAAAATCTAGTAAAATAATCCCATTAATAAAACATGCTAGTTTACAATAGATTATGTGTCTCCAAATAAATGTACATATGAAAGTATATCAAAATAATAAACATTCACAAAATAAATAAATAATCATTTCTTTTTAAATAAACTTACCGTTTCGGTGGAATACGCTGGATAACTGATTCCATAACGATTGTATGATATTACTCTGAACAAATACGATGTGGACGGCAGTAAATTTTGATAAGACACGGTATACTCCGTCAGTGGTCCATTGCTGGTACGTACTATTGTCTGCCAGCGCGAATCGTCTATAAGTACATACATAAATCGCGTTATAATCTTTGAAATAGCAAAGAAAAAAGTTTTTCCTTTCCGAAAAACACATTATTTTGTTTACATACGCATATATGTAATCAAATCTTTTCATACGGAATATCTCATTTGTACTATGATTTTTCAATACCAGGATTCTTTGATCAATTTAGAATCGATTTTTTTCTCGAAACTCTGTCATTCCAACATCACATATCTCTTAATCAAATAAATATATTGAATTTTGTAGCAGAAGATCAACTTTATATAATTTATTATTATACAAAAATTATTGTAGATCCTTTTTCTAAACTAACTACATTTTAAAACATAACTAACTCTAGCTCACATTACGTAAATTATAGAGTTTTGGCTACTGTAGTTATGTTTTGGAACCCTGAAGAATATTTCACATTCATTTTTTCTTTCAGATTTAATTTGCTAAAAATCCTCCACTTTTATAATCATCCAAATACTTAGCGCTGATATTTTTCATATGGGAAAGTTGATTTCAAATTAGCCAAAGAATGTTATAAAACAAAATAATGCCGTAGAAATGAGACATTACGTATAAATAGGAGCTCGTATTAGTCTGATGACTATTTTAACACTTTGAATGCCGATCATTATCTGTGTGAAATTTTTTGAAGAGTAACATCAATATTCTCTGTTTTGCTATTATACGACATACGGGAAAAATCGTGTGTGCACACATCTGCACGCCAAAATGTTAAAAACGAGATAAATTGCAGGGAAGGGGGGCTAAATAACAAAAACTGTGGCGTTACCAATGGATAGTACAACAAATCACGCTAGTATAATCAATCATTGGATCGTTTTTTTTTTTCAGGACGATATAAACAATTATGTTATAGCGCTACATAAAGTTAATATATTTTCAATAAAATCCTGTTTGAGCATATAAAATGGGTTTTTGGCGATATCATGCTACGACGTTATCATGCAAATTATTGGAATTTTCAAACGACCACAGTACGTGGTACACATAGTAATATACAACGGACTGTCAAAAGCGATATTGTTACGCTAACAGGGATCTCACTATCAAAACCATCTAAATGCAATGACTGACGCTCAGCATAGTTACGTGTGTTGACACTTACAATGCTGCCATTCTTCCATCGCTATATAGTTATAAAAAAGACGATATTAATGTTAGCAGAACCGTAGTAGTCGAGTTGAGCGCAAATGTAAAATAATATGACGATATTACGCTGAATTTATTTAAAAAAAACATTATATATATATATATATATGCATGTATGTATATTTGGTGGAACATACAACTATATATAATTCTTGCTTCGTAAAATTGCAACTTCACCATATGCTCGTAATACGTTCAAAATTTATTTCGTAAACTAGTTATGATAAAAGGAATTAGTCGCATTAACTTTTTTATTTTCTATCACTGCAATTTTGATAAATAGTAATGTAAAATAATAAAAAAATTTTGAATAGATGCCGTAATAGATTTTTTAAACTTTTTTCTATAAATGCAACGATGTGTAAAGTTCATATATTTACCTTTACGACGAGTTTCAATGTAATAACCGAGTATAGGACCTTTGCCGGAAGCACCATTGGTCCACTGTAGTTCCACACTGGAGACTGTCTTGGTCACACCAAGATTGCTAGGTTCCATCGGTGAACCTTCTTGCGGACCAGTTGTAACATTACCGGATATCGGTGGTCCGAAGTCGACTGTTTGTGCGCGAACCATAAAGGTATACGTCACCTCCTCTTCCAGTGGTTGAATAAGGAGACTCGTCTCTGTCACTTTTTGTTTAACTTGTTTACTGAAACCTTAGATAAAATATCGACAAGTCAGCAAAAGATAAATATGAAATATATATCATAATTAAATCTTTGCAAAGTAGCTTTAATATGCGTATACATTTTTTTTCAGAATAAAACTAGCGTATTCGTTTATAAAAAGTAATATGTAGACACATTTGAGTATATATTAATTAAAGCATAACGTTCTGGTGATATAATTAAAAAAGTAATAATAGTTCATAAAAAAATAATTAAAAAGCTAAAATTAAATTTTTAACGTGATAAATAATTTTTTAATAGAGATATTGATTTGTCTTACGATCATTTTGCTCTGCAGTTTCATAAGTAACGATGTAACCAACTATCTCGCCATTGCGTAACTTCGGCGGGTTCCAAGAAACGCGCAAGTTGGTCATGGTAATTTCGCTAAATTGCAAATGATATGGTGGTCCCGGTATATCCTGCAATTATGTTGAATACCAGAATTTAAATACCATTCATAAATATTTTTATTAAAAATATCAATATTGAACATTGTTATTACCATAGAATATTTATAACGTAATTTCTAAGAAAATTACCTGTTTCGTTCTCACAGTAATTGGCGGAGATCGTGGGCCATCTCCGGCAGGATTAAACGCTAAAACTTGAATGCGATATTCTGTATACTTGTCAAGAAAGACTAAACTGTGCGTCAAACAAGATGCTGGAACGACTTCTATCTCTTCTTCCTGTTTTTTCTCTAAATCTTGAGGAGAGTCGGTCACTAAATAAAAAATCTACAAGAAAAACGAGAATATCAGTTATAATAAACATATATATAAAATTAATAAAGATTGTATTAACTTATAACAATTAATCTATTACTAAATATGCAAAATAAAGATATATAAATTTATCACAATTACAATATACTATTGAGTTTGTAGAAAGTATGCAAAAATATATATAAAGCGATTAATTTATTACTAATGTAATTGAGCGAAATAATTACTACCTTATATCCTAACAAATCGCCATTTTGCATATTTGCTTGAGGAGGTTTCCAACGCAAATGGACCTCGGTCGAAGAAATGGGCTCAGCCTTTAGATGCTGGGGTTCCCCTGTTGGAACTGCCTCCCCTACGTACACAGTGACTGGTGGACTCGGCGGGCCCTCACCTTCTGAATTAAATGGTAGCACTACAATCTCATAATATCGATCCTCCGTTAAATCGCTTAAGACCATTTTAGTTTGCTGCAACAAAAATGAATTGTGTTAGTTATACTGGATTTGTAAAAGCTACATACAATTTCGATATATTATATTATAAAATTTAAATTAACGTATAAAAAAGGAAAATCTATACATACTTTAATTCCTAGAATTTCTTCTTTTGGCGTCGCCTGAAGAGGCGTTGGGAAATCAGATACCGGCTGATAAACAACACGGTAACCACCAGTTTCGTAATCGCCACTCCAATATACCTCGTCGATCATATTCCAATGAACCTCAACACTGGATGTTGTTATAGGGACAACTTTCAAACCGGTGACGCCTTTTGATGGCGCTATAAAAATAATATTTTGCTAATGTTAACAAATTTATTCAAAAGAAAGTGAAAAAAAACAGAGATTTAAAAAAATTCGCGAAGAATTTTAATTTCCAATTTCTACGATTTTCTTAATTTTCTTAAATATTTCCTTTTTAATATTATTTTATCTTTAATACACACCTGCAGGCAGAGTTTGTACTTGAGGAGACTCATTGCTCCATTCTGATGGACCTATGTCGTTGGTAGCTTGAATGCGAAACTGATAATGTGTGTAGGGTTTTAAATTGTTAGCCGTGTAAGACGTCAGAATAGGCTCCACTCTTTCGGGAATAATTTGGAATGGTCCAGAATTTTCTGATTGTTGCACTGTGTAATACCTATTGGAAAAAAAGATTAATGTGCAGTTTAATAGGTAATTTAATAGTAGAAATCCCAATATATTGGGATTTCTTATAAGGATGTTTCACAAATGATCCGCAAAAAAGATGTTTATACCTTAATGGTGCAAAACCGTCTCTGCCTGGCGTCCAACTAAACGTTATCTGCCGACTCTGAATCTGCGACTTGCTCACTTGCGGTACCGATGGTGCTTGAGGACGTTCTCTATTATTCGTGGTAAATACAAGCGCGTAAGCTGTTTTACCCCAACCCAATTTTGTTTGTGCCGTTACGGAGAACATATAATACTTTTCGGGCTTAAGTTCGATCGCTCTGTAATTTTGGCAAAATTATAAGAATATTTATTAAAAAAAACTCATTTATTTTTTTGACATGTAATCTTAATATATCTCAATTTAAAACAGAGATTAAACTTATTAATGTTGGGTTTACAAAATTCCAGCAAGATAGATAAATAGAAAAAAAATCTTTGTACCTGAATGTTCTGTCTGATGCTGGAAATTCTCTAGAAAATGATTCATCTTGTTGGGTGTTGTTTAAGTGAAACATGACTTTATATGCGAGAATCACCCCGTTAGGATCCTCTGGCGTGTCCCAGATAATGCGCGCTGTGGTTAAACTCACGTCAGGGAAAGATACATTAGACGGTGGACCAGGAGCTGTAATACAAAATAGAATATATTATAATGATATCATGGAATCTATTTTTTTTTTTAGCTTTGCACTATATATTTTATACACATTTCATATGTATATAAAACAATATATTTATAAAAATAACAAAAATCATAACAATTATACGATTAAAATCTAATCTATAACGTAATATTATCTCGATTGTCGTTAACAAGCATTCAATTGTAATAAATACACTTACTATCTTCGAAAGTCTGAACTCTCACAGGTGGAATGCTCAGCGCTCCATCACCGAGTCTTGTATAGGCTAAAACCTGCACGTGGTACTGAACGAACTTACGAAGTTCCGTTAAAGTAGTTGTGAAAGTGGTATTGCTGGGAATGTTTTTGTACTGAAAAGTTGATCTGGAATTCGCGCCATAATATACCTTAAACCCTTCGATCTGTCCATTTTGATGTTCTACGGGTACATCGCCCCATCGTACTAGGATAGTCGTAGAAGAAGTTGCGTTTGCTTCTACGTTTATCGGTCCCAGAGAAGGAACTAAAAGATATTACATTATATATTGCTGTAAATCTTACAAAAATTGTGTAAAAATAGTATAATAAAGTAACCTTATGTCATCTGTTTCGCGTTTGAGTATCAACAACATAAAATAATTTATTAGATTTCGCTCGTTTTTTGCAATGCAAAGTATGTATAAAGAAATTCGGTCTAAATCGAGCAGTATTATTACTGCTCGATTTAAAATAATTAAACTAATATCAAATCAACTTTTAAAGATACACATTATACTATAAATAAATATTTTAATATCTTTCAATAATCCAAAATAACTTATATAAGAAAAATATCACTTCGTCGACTCGCCTTCGGAGGTCTATAGTTATTCTCATATTTCTCGCAAGTGCTTGACACTCGTATAATTCTTCATATAGTACCTCGACTTAACATCTAACACAGGCGTATAAGGTAGGCTTCCATTACAATGCCTTACTGATGAGTCCAGTAATGGAAAAGCCGGGACGAAACGCCAATAAACATTGTGATAATTTTCGTAATATAAAGAATAAAGTATTAAGATCCAATTTATTTACGAATTTTAAATTATCATCTTATATTGGGAATTAATCAAGTATTTATCGGTGATATTATAATACTACTGTAGTATTTATGCGTTATATGTCTGAATGTTTCAGCGCGCAATTATGGGGGGACTACATATGTAGCATATAAATTTCACACATAGTTATTATTAGCACGTTGATCCAGCTTTGACCGTTATAGGCGTTAATTCTTCCTTGTTTGTTTGACAGTATACGGTCGGTACAAAATTAGTTAATATTATATAAGAAAAATTGCTTCTTAGAATTGGCTCTCTTTTATCACTTATGTTCAATTATGTTTGAAAGACTCACCTGATTCACGAGTTCGTTCAATAGCCTTTGGACTCGCTGCCGAAGAGCCAACATCATTAAATGCTTGCATTATTATTTCATAATCAGCAAATTCCTCCATATTTTCCAAAATGTATGAGTTTGCAGTGTGATCCTCGATAATACTACTTTTCGATACGTTCGATCGTACTTCTGTATAAGTAACATTGTATCCTCGCGGATTTCCGTACCATTCTATTTGCTGCAATGGCTACACAAAAAACAGTATAATTCTTATATATATAACTTCTACAGTTTACTCTATAATATATTATATAATCTCCATAATCGATATTCTTAATAGTAAAGATTAATAGAAAAATTATATCTTTTACATAATGATCCAATAATGATACTCACGATCCATCTAACGCGTAATTCTGTGGCACTCATCGCGCGAACCGTGACGTTTTTCGGAGGATGCGATGGTGGTGCTTGAATCGTCTGAAACTCTTTAGTTGGCTCAGAGGGCTGCGAGGCACCGACGACATTGTTTGCGATCAAACGAAGCTTGTATTGCATGAAAGGAGTCAAACCGTCGACGGTGATTGTACTGGCATCGGGATCGGATACTTCATAGATAGTGTACCACGTCGAGTTTCGCGCCGTTTGTGCCTAAGAAATCGATAGTAATTCGCATATTATTTCTTCTGATTTATTTTTCATTTTCTATCCATCGCGTCATTCCATCGAATTTCATATGTCTTAAAAATAAATTTTACAAAATGCTTTTACACGATAATTTTTAGATATCGTATTCTGAAAGATATAAAATATAATATTCAAACATATAAAATATTATTTGATATTAGATGGATTTTATTTCAATGGAATTTTTATTAATTTAAAAATGTTTTATTATATATGAAAAGATGTATCTAATAAAAAACAATTTCCGATTTTTTTTAAAGGCAGAATTGATATATAATAGATTGACCAACCTGCACTGTCCATTTTGTGATGGACGAATTTCCATCAAATCCTGGCGTGAACTGCAACACAATGGAGAACGCGTCTATGTTGGATAACGCTAACTTTGTGGGTGGTTCTGGTAACACCGGTTCGACACCTGATTGTATGGTCGCTACTTTTGATTTGCCAGGTCCAACCGATGTCCAAGCAGTTACTTCAAATTTGTAGTGAGTCAATGCCTAAGGAAAAATAAAAAAATGAGCAATAAACATATTTAATTCTCATTCTTTAAAAGTTGTCTTTTTCATAATTTATAATTTTTAGATTTTTTATTATATTTCTTTTATAATTTCTGCTGTTTGAAGTCGATGATTACCTGAAGATGTTCCACTTTGGTTGATAACACATCAGCCGTGAAGTTCTCAACGCGCAAAGAATCCGGAATGTCTTTAATCATGTATTTCAATTGATAATGTGTTAATATTCCGTTGGTCTCTTTAGGCGGACACCACTTAACTGTTAGTGCACGATCGCTGATATCTTCAAATTGTAAATTCTCCACTTCTTCAGGTACTGCAAAAATCATAGTATACAGAGAAAAATAATGTTTTTTTACAATAAGTTTATCTTTACTAAATAAAAATCTAGAAAAATTAGGGTATGTTAAGTTAGCACCCCAACTATAGTACTCAGGAGTTCTGATTAGAGTTCCCACTTCCTTTTGACGAGACGAAGAGTTCCCTATAGTCAATAACAAGAGTTCCGCTCAATAAACATTTTTTTTACATTTTTTAATAATGGGGTGCTAACTTTTTAACGAATTTCGAGGTGGAATAGTTCTGAGCGGCTTAATAGATTCAATTTGCGATTGCCTAGAGTTCCTGATATATAAAAAAAATTTTCAAATAATAAAAAAAAATTAAAAATTTTTGAAAAATTAATTTTTAGATACAATAGTTCTGATGATAATTCCTGCTTCTTTTTGACGATACGAAGAGTTCTCTATGATTTTTAATGACATATGCGCTTAATCATTTTTTAACAATTTTTTAAAAATGGGATGCTAACTTCTTAACGAAATTCAAGGTCGCATAGTTCTGATCAGCTTAACAGAACTATTTTGTGAATACCTAGAGTTCTTGATACATAAAAAACATTTTTGAAGAATAATAAAGTTTAAAAAAAATAGTAGAAATCTTCGAAAATTTTTTTGAGAGTACCGAGTAGTTCTGAGTAGCGTTTCTTATAGTTCTCGACGAGTTCTATCGAAAAGTATCAGGGTTCAAAGCGATTGGACCAACGGTTTCTGAGATATACTTATTTAAAAATTGTGTGATCTTACAAATTTAACGAATGTCGCTGTATCTTACAAACCGTTGGTCCAATCGCTTTTTCACCTCACAGTTTTCGATAGAACTCGTCGAGAATTATAAGAAACGCTACTCAGAACTACTCGGTACTCTCGAAAAATTTTCCGACGTGGGACTCGGAAAAAAATTTGAAGTCAAAATTTTTTGGGAGTACCGAGTAGTTCTGATCGGAGTTCTGGACAGTTCTCGGCGAGTTCTGTCGAAAAGTATGAGGGCTCAAAGCGATTGGACCAACGGTTTCCGAGATATACTCACTTAAAAAATTGTTGATCTTCTGACAAATATCGCTGTTTCTTGCAAACCGTTGGTCCAATCGCTTTTCCACCTTACAGATTTCGATAGAACTCGTCAAGTACTATAAGAAACGCAACTCAGAACTACTCGGTACTCTCAAAAAAATTTTCAAAGATTTCTACTATTTTTTTTAAACTTTATTATTCTTCAAAAATGTTTTTTATGTATCAAGAACTCTAGGTATTCACAAAATACTTCTGTTAAGCTGATCAGAACTATGCGACCTTGAATTTCGTTAAAAAGTTAGCACCCCATTTTTAAAAAATTATTAAAAATGATTATTAAGCGCATATGTCATTAAAAATCATAGAGAACTCTTCGTATCGTCAAAAAGAAGCAGAAATTATCATCAGAACTATTGTATCTAAAAATTAATTTTTCAAAAATTTTTAATTTTTTTTCTATTATTCGAAAATTTTTTTTACATATCAGGAACTCTAGACAATCGCAAATTGAAGCTATTAAGCCGCTCAGAACTATTCCACCTCGAAATTCGATAAAAAGTTAGCACCCCATTTTTAAAAAATGTAAAAAAAATATTTATTGAGCGGAACTCTTATTATTAACTATAGGGAAGTCTTCGTCTCGTCAAAAGGAAGTGGGAACTCTAATCAGAACTTCTGAGTACTATAGTTGGGGTGCTAACTTAACATACCGGAAAAATTACATCAATAAAATTGTCTTTTAATTAGAAGATACAGCGTAATTAATTAATTCTTAATTATTGGAAATAACATACCGTCTTCACAAGTGCGAATTTCGACAGGCGAGCTCCTTTCACCGTCACCTGGATCAGTGAAGCAGAGCACCGTGATATTATACATAGTGTACTTTTTTAAACCTGTCATAATAGCGTTCTGCTCAGCGAGTGGATCGAATAAACTCGGCGGCACAGTCATCGATTTATATTCAGTCGCATCTGTAAAATTGTCGCCAATCCAGGCTTGCAATTTGTATCCCTGATTAATTCCATTGATCTTCTGAGGATTCGGTGGCTTCCACCAAACTTTTACCGCTGTTGAATTAATCGCTTCCACTTTCACGTTTGTAGGAGGTGCTTCTGGGACTATAAAAAATCATTCTCTTTAATTGATTTATAACGTTCTATAGAATAATATTCTAATTTCTAACATGAATTACCTCCTTCTTTGGTTTTTATTTGCAAGCCCTTTGAATATACACCCACGCCCTTTTCATTGTAAGCTGCTATTTGCACTTCATAATCTTTCCATGTGATTAAATCTGTAATGAGATAATTTCTTTGCGCTTCATTGGTGATATTTTGCATCGTCCATGGGCTATCATTGTATCCAAAAAGCGTATATCTCAATATATATCCCAAAATATGGCCGTTTCGGTATTCTTCTTGTGGAGGTTGCCATTGTGTTATTATTTCTGATGACGAACGCGCTGAGCCGACGAAGCCAATGGGCGGACCACTAGGCGCTAAAAATAAAAATAAAATGTTTAAATGAAGTGCAATGTCAACATACACATCAGAGATCGAGCTATAAGTTTACCTATATTTTAGTAAAAATATAATATTTATTATATTCTTCCTATTAAATTAATCACTTGATTAATTTTCTTGATCACTTACGTTCTTGAGGTAAAACAACAATGTTGCTCGCTGCTGATGATGGTCCTTCACCGACGCTATTTTCGGCACTAACACGAAATTGATAAGATGCCGCGGCTTTTAAATTATTCAACAATATCCATCGACTAGTCGCAGACACATTATCGCGTTCGGTGATCCAGTTTAATATTGGATCGTGTATAGGTCCTATTTGCAATATAACAGTAAATTATATTTTGTATATTATAGAGATATAAGAAATATAATATTGATTTACTTATATTCAATGAAAAATTTGTAGTATTTTTCACATATATGGTAATAACGTTCACAATTACGTTAAGAAATATACATATAAAAAATGTAACTATATATTTAATTGCATTTTTACAGTAGATGTTTACATTTAAATATTTAGAGGCTACATTTACCTAAGTCGGACACTTCTCGTCTTTGGACTATAAATTTTTTCGTAGGACTATTGCCGTCGAAGCCGGGCACCCATGTGACGTTGATTGTGCGCGGCGAGATCCTTTCGACTCGTGTGGCCACGATGTTGATCGGTGGGAACGGCAATTCAATCACGCTCAGACGAGCAGATCGCGTTTCGTTGCCACCCGGCGATACCACGGAGCATGTATACTCGCCCACATCGGAAGCTCGAACAGTAACGATCTCGAGAGTGCCGTCTGATCGCATTTTCACTCTTTGACTCGCTTGCGTATTTATTACTCTGTAATAATGTACCGAACTTTAAGATTTTCTCAAGTGTCGGAAAAATTACCAAGATTTAAATAATTTTCCTAGCATCATAAATGACATAAATCAACAATTTAAATGATAAATTGATAAATTCAATAAACTCAAGATATATATTGTAAATAATTCTTAAATATCTTCAGTCGATTAGATTTTAATTAATTCGCTGTTTCAGAAAATAATATTTCAGAATATACTTCGATTACACGTAAATAAAAAAGCTTATAAATTTCTGATCTCCAGACTTTCAATTGATATTATTTGCATAATATTTCTGTTTATATAATACATACTGTCCATTGTGAAACCATGCCATATCGTATACGATACTGGGATCGTTCGAAACTTTACACTGCAATTCGGCGGTACGCCCGAGAAGCACGGACGTATCAACAGGTGGGTGGATAATTTGAGTCCGAACTGTAACAGATTGTATATGACAAACTGTACAATGCATCCATGACTAAAGTTCGAGCAGAAGAACTAATTTTTAACTTCCATGATTCGCTCGATCTTTGTCTCTAAATATTTTGTCTCAATAATCACCCATAACGGTTAAGTACGCCGATCCGTTGACAGAACCGGCTTCGTTTGCGCGGATGCAAGTATATTTTCCAGAGTCGTACGATTTCACCGCTGCAATTAAAAGATCACCGTTGTCCAAGATTTGTACTCTCCCAGCGATCTCCACAGATATCGTGTCTGTTACAATTAAATGTAAACATTTGTTAACGCATGTTTGATAATAATATTAATCTTACATGTATCTTAATTTTATAAAAATCATATACACATACAAATAAAACTATAATAAATAAATTAAAATTTTATAACATATTTATATTACATACACATATATACACATAATATAAAAATATAATAATTGATATAATAATTAGCTTTGATTTAATTACCGTTATAATACCAGGTGACATTTGGCTTAGGAGCCGCGATCGCATTGCAACTTAGAGTTGCATCTTTGCCGTCTAATACTGTTAAATTCTGTGGTCCGTTTTCCATTATTGGTCCAGATGCTGTAAATTACAGACAGAAGTTTCGTCATTAACATTGAATCTCTATGTTTAAATTTTTCCTCACAACGTGCAAATGAAAAAAAGGTGATCAATTGTCGCTTGCAATATACATATATTAAACCCATCTGTAATTCTCACCTCTTCTTTATTTCTTTATGCCGATTCCAAATACAAGCTCATGTTTTAAGCATAACACAAACACATATTTAATAGCAAAACTACGCAAACTTATAACTAATTGTAAGTACATGATAAATGCCACATAAAATAAATCATTAAATACTAAATACTAATGGCACTTACCGTGAAACATTCAGAAAAAAAATCTTATTGAAAATATATCCCTAATGTATGCAGGACGTGCGTGTCAGTATTACTTGGAATATCGCAGACGCGTGCTAAGAATAATTACGTCAAAACACGACAAATCATTTCGTCTGATGTTTCTTTAAAAATATCGTACGGCAATCATTCTACGATATAGAAAAAACACTAAACTATAATAATATAATTCAAATCATTAAATCACATAAACACGCACAATTAATCAATGTGTTGCGCTAAAATTCTATAAACATGGAGTAATGATAAATGTTCTAAAACACTGATATTCGACATGGTGCTGTTTGCCTTATCAGAGCTATGCGAAAATTTGCTAGAAGCAAAAATTGTGAAGTGAAATTTATACGCAGTCTTCAAGCATGTGCCGAAAATAATAATGGAAAAGAAAAGTGTGGAAATCTCGCTACATTATTCTTACTGTTTGGATATTGAGAGAACATAAAACGGCGATCAGACTGGCGGACTCTGACTACATTGTAGCCAGCCGCCCAGCGGGCAACTCTGTTTCTCAATCTGCTTCCTAATCCTTTTTCTGTGCCGCACACAAAAAACACGTCATTTATATTAACTCTGTTTGCGACATTATTACGCGAAGTGTCCGCGAAAAACGCGATTCCCTTTAAACAATATCTATATTTGTGTATAATGTTAATATTACTATTATATTAAATTACAAGAAATTGCCTGTTATAATTTATATTATGTCGGCTAAAAAAGATAACAAATAAACAATATATAAATTTTTAATCCTTTGTATTCAAAATTAAATTATTATATATTAGCAAGCATATTTATGATATTTGCCATTATTTCTCATCTTATAAAAGTCTCTATTTATATAAAATAAAAAAGATTATGAAGTATTTTAGTCGCGTGTTTTGCGAACACTATGTACGCGGACTGGGTAATAATTTCACTATTTTTAGAATTCTCCGTGACATATTATGGAAACAATGAAGAATTACTTACTTTTCGCTTTCAGCCAGGTATAACTGGATGATTCGCCGGCTTCATTGGATGCGAGGCACTGAAACATTCCCGAGTCATCCATACTTAATTTCTTAATTGTCAGTGAACCATCTTCCTCCATTATGTATCTGTAAAAACACGAAAATGATTAAATGATAAATAATTTTCGAATTCTGATTCCTTTTTTATAAGCAAAAACAAATTTAAATATTTTTTGTAAAATATGTTCCTTTAATTTACTTTACTTCACAAAAATTATTCTTTCTAAATATTTTAATATTACGTATATTTTTTAATTTGTAATAAAATATTTACTAGAGTAGAAAAATTTATTTATCATTGATAAATATCTCTTCCATGGGTATGTTAAGTTAGCACCCCAACTATAGTACTCAGGAGTTCTGATTAGAGTTCCCACAATCTTCCATGGGTATGTTAAGTTAGCATCCCAACTATAGTACTCAGGAGTTCTGATTAGAGTTCCCACTTCCTTTTGACGAGACCAAGAGTTCCCTATAGTTAATAACAAGAGTTCCGTCAAATAAACATTTTTTTTACATTTTTCAAAAATGGGGTGCTAACTTTTTATCGAATTTCAACGTGGAATAGTTCTGAGCGGCTTAATAGCTTGAATTTGCGAACGCCTAGAGTTCCTGATATGTAAAAAAAATTTTGGAATAATAAAAAGATAATTAAAAATTTTTTAAGAATTAATTTTTAGATACAATAGTTCTGATGATAATTCCTGCTTCTTTTTGACGATACGAAGAGTTCTCTATGATCTTTAATGACATATGCGCTTAAAAATCAATGTTTAATAATTTTTTAAAAATGGGGTGCTAACTTTTTAATGAAATTCAAGGTCGCATTAGTCTGATCAGCTTAACAGAACTATTTTGTGAATACCTAGAGTTCTTGATACATAATAAACATTTTTGAAATAAAATAAAGTTTAAAAAAAATAATGGAAATCATGGAAAATTATTTTGAGAGTACCGAGTAGTTCTGAGTAGCGTATCTTATAGTACTCGACGAGTTCTATCGAAAACTGTAAGGTGAAAAAGAGATTGGACCAACGGTTTGCAAGATACAGCGACATTTGTCGGAAAATCAACAATTCTTAGAGTGAGTATATCTCGGAAACCGTTGGTCCAATCGCTTTGAGCCGTCATACTTTTCGACAGAACTCGCCGAGAACTGTCCAGAACTCCGAACAGAACTACTCGGTACTCCCAAAAAATTTTTACTTCAATTTTTTTTTTCGAAGTCCAACGTCGGAAAATTTTTTGAGAGTACCGAGTAGTTCTGAGTAGCGTTTCTTGTAGTACTCGACTAGTTCTATCGAAAAGTGTAAGGTGAAAAAGCGATTGGACCAACGGTTTCCAAGGTACAGCAACATTTGTCGGAAGATCAATAATTTTTAGAGTGAGTATATCTCGGAAACCGTTCGTCCAATCGCTTTTTCCCCTTACAGTTTTCGATAGAACTCGTCGAAAACTATAAGAAACGATACACAGAACTACTCGGTACACTCAAAAAATTTTTTGGAAGTACCGAGGAGTTCTGATCGCAGATCTGGACAGTTCTCGGCGAGTTCTGTCGAAAAGTATCAGAGGTCAAAACGATTGGACCAACGGTTTCCGAGATATACTCTACACATTCGCTCTATCTCGCAAACCGTTGGTCCAATCGCTTTTTCACCTTATAGTTTTCGATAGATCTCGTCGAAAAATATAAGAAACGCTACTCAGAACTATTCGGTACTCTCAAAAAATTTTTTGGAAGTACCGAGGAGTTCTGATCGCAGTTCTGGACAGTTCTCGGCGAGTTCTGTCGAAAAGTATGAGGGGTCAAAGCGATTGGACCAACGGTTTCCGAGATATACTCTACACATTCGCTCTATCTCGCAAACCGTTGGTCCAATCGCTTTTTCACCTTATAGTTTTCGATAGATCTCGTCGAAAAATATAAGAAACGCTACTCAGAACTATTCGGTACTCTCAAAAAATTTTTTGGAAGTACCGAGGAGTTCTGATCACAGATCTGGACAGTTCTCGGCGAGTTCTGTCGAAAAGTATCAGGGGTCAAAACGATTGGACCAACGGTTTCCGAGATATACTCTACACATTCGCTCTATCTCGCAAACCGTTGGTCCAATCGCTTTTTCACCTTATAGTTTTCGACAGATCTCGTCGAGTACTATAAGAAACGCTACTCAGAACTACTCGGTACTCTCAAAAAAATTTTCCAAGATTTCCACTATTTTTTTTAAACTTTATTATATTTCAAAAATGTTTTTTATGTATCAAGAAATCTAGGTATTCACAAAATAGTTCTGTTAAGCTGATCAGAACTATGCGACCTAGAATTTCGTTAAAAAGTTAGCACCCCATTTTTAAAAAATTATTAAAAATTTATTATTAAGCGCATTTGTCATTAAAAATCATAGAGAACTCTTCGTACCGTCAAAAAGAAGCAGGAATTATCATCAGAACTATTATATCTAAAAATTAATTTTTCAAAAATTTATAATTTTTTTTATTATTCGAAAATTTTTTTTACATATCGGGAACTCTAGGCTATCGCAAATTGAAGCTATTAAGCCGCTCAGAACTATTCCACCTCAAAATTCGATAAAAGTTAGCACCCCATTTTTTAAAAATGTAAAAAGAAATGTTTATTGAGCGGAACCTCTTGTTATTAACTATAGGGAACTCTTCGTCTCATCAAAAGGAAATGGGAACTCTAATCAGAACTCCTGAGTACTATAGTTGGGGTGCTAACTTAACATACCCCTCTTCCATATATAACAATTACAATTTTAAATTTACAGGAAAGTTTCAACAAAATTAATAGTTAAAACAGTAATAATTAAAAGATTTCTCTTTTTCTCATTCCAATGACTACAAAAGTAAATATTTGCCATGGCGTACCTTGTTCCCAATAAATGATCGACAGACTCGGCATTACGGAACCAAGTAATGGTAGGAGGTGGCACACCATTAGCGTCGCATGGTAATGTTACTGTGGACCCATAATCGCTCAGAGTTTCCCTTTTTAATTCCGTTATAAATATTGGTTTTTCTAAGAAAAATGTAATAAAAATTTTAGAAAAGATTAGATCTGTTAAAATCTCCAGTGTCGTATTCTTATTTTTAAGAATATAATTATATATATTATTGCTATTTACTGAATTATTTATATATTCATTATTAAATGTTTATTGATAATGCTTACCATATACAACGATTTTAGCGCTCGCATTTATGGTCGGATAACCACCACTTCGTAAATCCACGTGACAAGAATATGTTCCTGTATAAGTTATGTTAGCTGAGATCAATGCGAGCGTTCTGTTCCACGAATCATTAAAGCTATACGATATTCTAGAGTTCTCAATCGGAATACCATCCTTCATCCATAAGGTCCTTAGTTCATGAAGGGATCTGAAATCAATGTAATCTCGATATTAAAACTTCAATTTAAAATCCTTTTGAACAAAAACATTGTCTGTGCATTGAGAAGAAAAATCGTATAGTGATGAATAGTAAAAGAATGATAAACAAAAAGATTCGCGAATACCTGGCATTCGCGATGCAATGTATGTGCGTGACATCTTGATCTTTGATTATTTGCGTGTCCTGTGGCTTGACGATTATGGTAGGGGCTACTTCCGCATTTGGATCACCGATGACTTGCAATTTAAAAAATGGACTGCTCACCTCCGTGCCCAATTGAGTGTTAATAGCCTTCGCTCTGTATCATTATAAACGTAAATCATTATAAACATAAAAAAAAAAGTAAGTTTAAACTTCGTTGGTTTGAACGAATTTATGTGCAACTGAAGCATATAGGATTAACAAATAGAATGAGTTACTATACATGAAATAAGCTACTGCTGCGCGTTGATTGCATCAATTATACGAACCTGTAGGAGCCCTCGTCGTTTTCCGAAGCATTTAGTATGATCAATGTGTGATCAGTCGTAGCGTACTTTATACCGTACAGAAGATTCCCGTCCGAGGAAAGCCACGTTACGGCAGGGGGAGGATGGCTCTCAATCGGGGGTAGTTCTAGAATTGCGGCGCTACCCGACTCGACGGTCACCACTTTCTCCGTGAGATCATCGAACGTGCCCATATCTGAAGCGAATTGAGACATCATCAATTCGTAATCGGTACAATACGGATGTACTGATATAGTAATCGTCGAGAAGACTTACAAGCTACGGCGAAGACGAGACGATCGCTGAATATGGATCCCACATCGTTCGTTGCGACGCAATGATACACCCCAGCATCCTCGCGACGCGTACTGAGAATACGGTAATAAGGTTCGCCCGAGGTAACTTCGTTGTTGAGGGGCATCCCGTCTTTGAACCATTTGTACTTTGGTTGAGGATTGCCTAAAGACGATACAAAAGTTGTTTATTTATGTCTAAGTAATTTTTCTTAACTGAAAGCTTGATTTTAGTTACAAGGGAAGTGCCCAATGTGATAATTGCGAATTGATACAACATATATATCATTGGAAAGGTCTCGCCGAGTAGAGTTCAACTGTGCAATATTTCGCTTGAATGGCGCCTTTAGAGGTTATGTGCAATAGAAGTTATACAAAGTCTACCTAATGATAATAAGAATTTAACTTTGGGTTGAGTTTCTAGAGACATACGTGGAGTTTAAAGGATATAAACTTTTCTTTTGAAGATCCCATTTGTCAGATTTGTAATCAAAATGCTACATGCATCAAATGTTCATATGATTCGTGTTCATTCAATTCGCAATTATCACTTTAGGCACTTTCCTTGTTAGTTTAAAAATTAATTTAAAAAATAGAGAGGAAAGAAATTTAAAAATTATGTGAAAATTATCAAGAAAACGTATAGATCATTTCTCTCATTAATAAATACATTTCCTTCAATCTACTATTTTTGGATTATGTCAAAATAATTATTTAAATGATCTTTAATGGAAGGATGATTTAATGTAAACAAACTCGTCAATAATTCAATGCAAAGTCACGGACAATGCTGCAGCTCGCAAGTTATCTAATACTATTAGTACAGGGTCATACGATTGAATTACACGGTGTTGGTATGGCTTCATCTAACCATCGTCTCATCCGCCTGTTATTCGATATTTTTACAGGACAACAAAATATCATGCGGCGAACCTTATCTCCGATGCTGTTGTTGCGGTCCTTACCTCTTTCGTCTATTTATATTTTATTTCTTCAATATAATATTGATTGCATAATTAAGTATCAAAAACCCAAAAATTTCTGACAATTCGTTACTTTTTCATTATTAGAATAAACATGAAAATAATTCGAATCATTGACAATGAAATTGATAAACATTGGAATAATAATGGGTTTTTATTTTTGAAAAAGCACATTTTTATGAAAGAAAAAATACTTAACAATACCTTGAGAGATCTTGCTACTTAAAATTATCCTAACAATCAAATTGAAATAACAATATTTATTTAAAAGAAATTAATTTCATCTTGCTCAGAATAATAAATTCAAAATTATTATCTAATAAATGTAAAAAGAAATGCGCGATACTTTCCAAGATAATAAAAGTTGTTACTAAAATTTGTTACCGCGGACAAGTTATCGAGAACTTTCTCTCCTTTCTCCTGTCCCTCTCTCTCTATTCCTATGTTAACAAATTTTTAGTTAAAAATTTATATATTATGATTCTTACCTCTCGCTTGGCATTGCAGAAACTTCGTGCGATTTTCGCTAAGTATATTACTACTACTGGATGGTTGATTGATGAAACGCGGCTCTTGAAGTGGTTCTGCAAATAGAAAAACATTTTTTCCTCTTCAGATTGATGTCGTGGTTTAACAGAAACTTTACAACATCACGCCCGCGGATTGCAAATTAGTCTTGCAATTGCTTGAGTTTCGTATAGATTATGGACTCGCAGCGAATTTACAATTCGTAATACTATCTCGTAGACAATTAATAATTTTATTGCGTATATATAAGAGACAATGATTTATAAATAATTCGAATTATAAAGAGAATAAATAAAACATGATATGCCAAAGATAAGATGCAAAGCCATTGTCATGATATCTACTTGTAGCCAAAACAATCAGCGCAAGAAGAATAAGATTATAACAAAATCACGGTAAATAGAATAAAAAAAATAAATCGTAGAAATGTGAACTAGATAGTATTATTATATCAGTAAAGATTGAGATTGAAATAACAAGAATAAAAAGGGCTAATGAGAGTAAAATCGCCGTTAGTGTTTCGAACATACACAAAAAATATTATAATACATAAAATAACAATAAAATTGATATAATACTAAATATACTAGTATTATATTAATTTTATCGTTATTTTATGTACTATAATATATTTTGTATATGCTCGCAACACTAACGGCGATTTTACTCTCATTAGCCCTTTTTATTTGGGTATGTTAAGTTAGCACCCCAACTATAGTACTCAGAAGTTCTGATTAGAGTTCCCACTTCCTTTTGACGAGACGAAGAGTTCCCTATAATTAATAACAAGAGTTCCGCTCAATAAACAATTTTTTTACATTTTTTAAAAATGGGGTGCTAACTTTTTAAGAAACTTAAAGAACTTTGTTTGGATTGGTTAAATTCAATCTCAATCTCTAGTCTGATCTGATACAAATAACAGATAGAATCTAAATAAGTACATCAATATAATACCGATTTATTCTATGATAAAAAATAAGACAGAGTGAATGGAAGAAAATCTAAAAGAAGAAGATCTAATATTACAAAGTAATGAGTTTACATATTTAATTGTAACGTAAAAAAGACAACGGCGCGATTTAATTTCAGAATTTTGATTTTTGAGGTAAGAGGCAAATTCGAGCATAATCTAATATGATTACAAGTGAATTCCATATGACTGACCCACAACCTCTCTTTCTGAGTTATCGGGAGTGCATAAGAGAGACGTAATAATTTATAGCGCTCCAGAAAGGCCGCTGAGGCTGACGAACGAGAGGAAAGAATGCGAGCGAACGGCCGCATTCGGATGCCGAGGTGCCGAGTCACATGCAACGCACGTAAAGCCGACACGTGCACCCGCCCGTATCCACCGGACGTTCCACGCTCTGGTGATCTTGACACACGGGTACTGGTGTGTCGCAACTTCTCCCCACGGTAGAACCACTGTTTCGTCGTGAACGAAAAGGGGCAGGTTAAAGATTTGAACTTCGAAGAAAGTACGCTCTTCTATTTTTAAGAAGCAAAAATCTCTGTGTTTTTCCTCTAAACAGTCTAATTTCTAAAAATAAAAATCTTCGAAGATATTTAAATATTATTTTTAAGACAGGTGCTTTTCTACTGATAGAGAAAAACTACTTAGAAGACAATACATTTCTTCATTTTCAAGATGCAAAACTATACACAGAAAAAAACAATGCGGTTCCTAAGAAAAATGATTACTTAATTTACTTTCTTGCTTTTAAGTAATGGCTATCTTTAACAAAGAATATCTTCGTAATAATAATCTTAAAATATATTATGGGTACTTATTACAAATTTTAGAAAAACACATATTACTATATCTTACTCAAAATAAGAATTAATTTTTATTATAAAGTTGAATCGAAGAATTAAATGACTTGACTTTATGAAAAAAAAATCTTTGGAGTACTAATTTCACAGAGGTGATTTTTGCTAATCTAAAGTGTAAATTTATGATTTATGTGAAGCATTCTTTAGAATAATTTAGAACAAGTTCCTACGGATGTGTAAACAAAACATTTTACGGGTCGATGACGATCGCGAGTGACGAGTAGTTCAGTTTTCCGAACATTATTGTATCTTTCAACCGGTAATTCATTCCGATCTAATACACCGCGTGATTCATGGATCCGCGTTTCAATCGTACACACACTATGCAATCAGTCACGGCTGTATTCGTAGGCGGATTCTAAGGAACGGACGATAGTGTGATCGCGTCGCACCTGAGGCCCTATTCTGTAACTCGTTAAGCAGTTAACGACATCGTTGCGCAGCTTTTTATACCATAAGATATCTGCGCAACGATGTCGTTAACTGCCTTAACGAGTTACAGAATACAGGGGCTGGGCCGCCATAAATATCGATTCAGCCCGATAAGCATCGTCGATAAGAGGTACTTATACATGATATGCCATCATTTCCACATATGTCGATATATTTCGTAATTGTTTCAATTTTACCTACACGAAAATGATTTTTAGACGACTGGCTAAAATGGAGAGTTGAAGCACTTTAGAAGTACAAATTGATGACAAAATTGCAATATGATTAATTTCAGTTAAGCTTATCTAGACTAAAAATTGAGAGATCAAATTTAATCAATTAAAAGAAAAAATCAATTTAGTATGAGAAGCGCTTCATTTAAAGTTAAATGTTAAAAGTATGGAAAAAGTTAATACCAAGTTTAATGAACTTTGCTTGGATTAGTTTATCAATCTCAATAATCTTAATCTTTAATTTGATAAAGACATTAGACTTTACTTTAACGGAATCTTAACGTAAGTCTTAATTACATGAAAACTTAGGTATAAGTAATAATGTTAAAATCGGAGTCACAGTAAAAACATGTGCTTATCCTGGCATAGAATTTTCTAAAATTACAGTTTTTAACTCGAACTAACGTAATGTTTCTTCTGAAATTTTTGCCGAGAAAAACTCCACTCTGAATTACCTAACTAAAGTATAGCCTGTATGCGTGTGTACTCTCGTATCTCTCGCGTTATCTCATCAATATAACGGAGCATTGGAATCTTTAAGGGTCTCTTGGATGTAAACGAATTTTTTATATCAGAAAATGATTTTTAAAGAAAACAAGGTTTATTTTACACTGAAAAAAATTTACTAAATTTTAATAAATATTTGTTTAAATAATACTAAAAAGTTTACTTGCAGAGTAAACAGATATTTACTCAATAAAAAAATGATAATTAAATTACATTAGTAAGTAATTCATATACGAAATAAGTATACGTAAGTATTTGCTTATTATTAAATATTTAATTAGTACTATTCAAAACAAATATTTATTAAAATTTAGTACACCTTTTTCAGTATATCGTCAACGTTTCAAATGCCTCGCGTATGCAAGGATTCAGTTTTCGGATCTTATCTCCTTATCGCGTGTCTCGTTTGAAGTAGCATCATGCTGTAATTCTGCTCCGTAGAAACGCGCATGCAAGAAGACACGTTAAACACCTAAGAATAAACTTCATGTTTTCTGCGTCTCTCTTTAGAGGAATAACCGTCGTTTATTTATTTCAAGCTCGTTCTCCACCGAGCGGAATAAAGAATGGCATGTTAAAACCAGAACGCGAAAAATTCCTGAAATGTACGCG